TATGGCTTATGCTTCCTAAGTCTAAAAACCCAGAAACTTTATATAACTTATTTTGTTAGGGGCTCTGTTGCAAATGAAAACACCAAGTGGAAAGGGAATATTATTCCTACTGTAATATGCAGTAATGTATTCCCTAACTGTGGAATCTGCATTCAGATTCTGTGCAGCAGCATGTCCATATTGCATAATTTGTTTGTACTTGAGCTAACCTGAAGCCAAATGACACTGATTACCTCACATCCACACTGCTTAAGGCTAGCATTCCTCATAAGTTTTTCTCAGAGCCAACCAGCTGTTGGTAGTGACGTAACAATTAATAACTGAAGCAACAGAGAAGACACTGAGCTCTTAGATCTTTTCCATTTATCAGTTTAGAACTACACTGCTGTCCCTGAAGTAGCTCCTTAAATGGTAAGTTTGAGTACTCTGGAAACAACTAATGGTATTTTAAATTTAACCCCACCTACAGCTTGATGATTGAAACATTTTTCATGCCAGAGAAATAAGTTTGACTCTTCTAAAGAAGTGCTGGGAATTGTATCTGAGTATCTTATAAATTCATAAAAAGAAGATGGCTCCATTAACTCGGTGCTTTCTAAAGTAATCTAAAAGTTGTATCTGGAATGCTTTCTGGTATGGGAAGATTTTCAACATATCCCCATATTAAGAGCTCAAATCGAGACATGGTAAATAGTCTGAGTGAAGTGATAGTGTCTTAATTTCTGCACAAGTACTGGTTGAACTATAGTTCCCTTCCTGAGGATTTCAGTATGTGTCTGTATCACAAAATGCTCTGCAATTTACATATGTTGGTACTAACCACCAGTAGGTTAAAGATAATACAGAAGATGCAGATGTAATATTAGTAATTCTTGGTGATCTGTGTGAGCTCTGAAAGGAATAAAATTCAGGCATCAAAGAAACAAATCTTCATCTTAGCAACTTTCTACCAAAATAATTAATTTTATTTATCATGTCATCCAACAGCTGCCTTGAAACATATCTGCAACAGTTTTTCTGATCTAGACATGTATATAAAATAAAGAAGTGCAGCAACGTTGGTAAAACGATAAGGGCACAACTTTTGTGAGGAGTGGCTGAGGGAGCTGGGGTTGCNCTATTGGCTAATTGCAAGAAGCCTTGCTATCTTAACAGAGAGGGGTTTTTGCTAACTTTCCGTTACATCCCGAAATCTTCCGCATCGCCAGGCCTTAAACTACAAGAGTTGAGTGGAGTTTTTTGGTTGTTTTTGTGGTTGGGTTTTTTTGACACTGTCTCTGACAGCATACTCATAGACAAGCTCAGGAAGCATGGATTGGATGAGTGGACAGTGCAATGGATTTAGAATTGGCTAAACAGCAGACCCTAGAGGGCTGCCATCAACAACATGGGCTCTAGCTAGAAGCCTGTCACTAGTGATGGCCCCCAGGGTGCCATGCTGGGTCCAGTATTGTTCAGTTTGTCCATCAGTGACTTGGATGAAGGGACAGATGCATCCTCCACAAATTCTATGATGACACAAAGCTGGGAGGAGTGTCTGATACCCCAGAGGGCTGTGCAGCCCTTCAGAAGGACCTCCACAGGCAGCAGAGATGGGCAGAGGAGAACCATCTGAAATTCAGCAAAGGCAAATGCAAGGTCCTGCACCTGGAGAAGAATGACCCCATGCACTAGCACAGGCTGGGGGCTGACCTGCTAGAAGAGAGCTCTGCAGAGAAGGATCTAGGGGTGCTGGTGGAAAACAAGCTGTACATGAGCCAGCAGTGTCCAAGAAGGACAGTGATGTCCTGGGGTACGTTAGAAAGAGCACCGCCAGCTGGATGAGGGAGGTGATCCTGCCACCCTCTTCAGCCCTGATGAGGCCTCATCTGGAATGCTATGTCCATTTCAGGGCTCCTCAGTATAAGAGACACATGGAACTCCTGTAGCAGGAGTGGTAGAGGGCTGTCATGATTATCAGGGGCTGGAATATAAGAGGAAAGGCTGAGGGAGCTGGGCCTGTTTAGACTCAAAAAAGAAAAAAAAGGAAGGGTGACAAGAGGAGGTTTGCAGGCTCTTCTTGGTGGTGCCAAGCAATATGACAAGAGGCAATGGGCAGAAACTGATGCACAGGAAATTCCACCTGAACATGTATGGAAGTTATAGCTTTGGAACAGGCTGCAGGGAGCTGCAGAAAATGCAGGCCCATGGCCTCTCAGTCCTGCCTGAGAAGCTAGCTTGGGAATTCAAAGGAGGATTTCAAAACAATCCTCAGAGACAGAAAACAACTGCCAGGTGCTGTTTATCTGTCTTCTTGTTCTCCTTGCAGGAGAGAGTCAGGGGGGCAGTGTGCCCCTGACCAATGATAGTGATGTAGCACTTTGCTAACCAATAAGAGTTTCTTTTCTGTACCTTTCCACGTATCTGTCTATAAGACAGGCCTGAAGCAACAAACTAGGGAATTCTCCTGTTGAAACTCCCTTGAGGGTCCGTGTCGTTCTTTCTAGCCGTTCCCAATCGGAACGACAAACATGAGGAAGAACTTTACTGTGCAGGTGACCATGCACTGGAGCAGATTGTCCAGAGATATTCTGGATTCCCCCTTGTTGGAGTTATTCAAGAACATTCTGAGTGCAATTTTGTGACATGCTCTAGGATGACCCTGCTTGAGCAGACAGATTGTATCATATGACCCACTGTAGTCCCTTCCAGCCTTGATTCTGTGCCTCCATGTGACACATGGTAGATAAAGAGTGTCATGGTTTAACCCAAGCCATGAGCCAAGCACAATGGAACCACTCACTCCCTCCCCTATCAGGGGAATAAGGGAGAGAACTGAAAGGCTAAAATCTAGAAAACCTATGGGTTGAGATAAGGAGAGTTTAGTAGGGAAAGCAAAAACCATGAACACAAGCAAAACAAAATAAGGAATTACTTTATTGCGTCCCATGAGCAGACAGGTGTTCAGGCACTTCCATGAGAGAAGAGCCCCATCACATGTAACCGTGAAGGGGGATCCACTCTAACTAAATGTAAATATTTTCTTCCTCTACAAATCAGAGAAATTCTTTTGTATTTCAGATCTTGTGAAAGCATTTTAGTAACAAATTAAACACGCCTTTCACATTTCTTTGGGTTTTCTATAGGTTATAAATATTAAAAAAATCTTCATACAAAAAAAAAAAGAAAGGCAGAGAAAAAGACAGGAGACATAGTGATGTCATTACATCACATTGTATTACACTGTATTTCATTTGTGTAAAGGCCTATATTCTAAAGAGGGACAAATTAATGGTTTTAAAAGTACCATTGCAATTTTCACTGGCAAGTTTATCAAAAGTAGTTTTTTGCTGTAGCATATAACTCCTATGGATATAATACTGAAGCTTTTTTAGTGGCCATTTTTTCTAGAAGTCTTATTTCAAGATTAAAATTAAGTGCACGAGAGAAAAAAAATAAATCTTGGATATATTTATTTGATCACTTAAAAAACATAGTATGTGACTGTTTATGAAAAGATATTCTGAGTAGAAAAAATTTGGATTTCTTTACCCTAAAAGGGATATTTTTTGTGTTTCGCAAGATGTAAGGTTAGGTATTTTATCTATAATTTCCTCTCTAATTCACCTCAGAATCTTGCAAGACATCCTATTGGAAATCTTACAGTGGTTTTCAGCCTGGTAACAAAACTTTTTATGCTTGGGGATTTTTAATATTTATTACACATAGATACATAGATATATACATCTTTTTATCAGAAACATTGAATGTAATCAGAAGAGGAAACTGAACAGCTTTTATTTCATCTCAAGAACTGCAGTCTTGAGGAGTCGAAGCACCTGTCAGAGAAATGACCCTGTTCCATTTCACGGAGCATTATTATACAATTAAAACAGTAATACTCAAGGCCATTAGATTTTATAGTGCATTTCTACACTTTATTTTCTTCATTGTTTTTTGGATATCACATAATAAGAGCTTGGTCTGCAGAGAAATAAGGCACTTAAATCCTGATTAATTGTCCCTGTAGGCAGTTGCATATGAAAAAAAGACAAGATGTTAAATGGCAAATACCTTTTTTTATTCAGCTTATTCAGTCAAAGACCTTTTATTTTTACCATTAATCCTAAGCAGCTAAGGACTACATAAACTCTGTTGGGGATCCTGATTGAAGATAAGTGCATTCCAACAGTTACATAATTAAACCTTGAAGTGAGAAGACCTTATGATTTACCCATAATCTATTGTATGTGACTCACACTCAACTGCTAATTTTGATTCGTACTTGGGTACTTAATGCCCCCTCAGCATGAGTGCAAGAGTAGCTTAGGTAAGTAATTTAAGGCAATGTCAAATAGCAGGACTCTTACAAAAATCAAGTATTTCCTTGTACTGTGATCTTTTAACTCAGCATCTACAAAATTTCCCGTGGTTTTTTTTGTGGATCTACACCTCAGTTGTTCATGATTTGTAAATAAGTTAGTCAAATATCAGATAATTGAAATCTCTTTTTAATTATTGCAGGGCTTTTTTTGGGTTTTTTTGTGTGGTTTTTAGGGGAGTTTTGTTTTTTGTTTTTTGGGTTTTTTTCAGCACAGGGATTGCTGCCACGCATGCAATAGGTAATCCAAGGTAACTAATTTTTCTCGTTTATGGCTTATGCTTCCTAAGTCTAAAAACCCAGAAACTTTATATAACTTATTTTGTTAGGGGCTCTGTTGCAAATGAAAACACCAAGTGGAAAGGGAATATTATTCCTACTGTAATATGCAGTAATGTATTCCCTAACTGTGGAATCTGCATTCAGATTCTGTGCAGCAGCATGTCCATATTGCATAATTTGTTTGTACTTGAGCTAACCTGAAGCCAAATGACACTGATTACCTCACATCCACACTGCTTAAGGCTAGCATTCCTCATAAGTTTTTCTCAGAGCCAACCAGCTGTTGGTAGTGACGTAACAATTAATAACTGAAGCAAATGAGAAGACACTGAGCTCTTAGATTTTTTCCATTTATCAGTTTAGAACTACACTGCTGTCCCTGAAGTAGCTCCTTAAATGGTAAGTTTGAGTACTCTGGAAACAACTAATGGTATTTCAAATTTAACCCCACCTACAGCTTGATGATTAAAACATTTTTCATGCCAGAGAAATAAGTTTGACTCTTCTAAAGAAGTGCTGGGAATTGTATCTGAGTATCTTATAAATTCATAAAAAGAAGATGGCTCCATTAACTCGGTGCTTTCTAAAGTAATCTAAAAGTTGTATCTGGAATGCTTTCTGGTATGGGAAGATTTTCAACATATCCCCATATTAAGAGCTCAAATCGAGACATGGTAAATAGTCTGAGTGAAGTGATAGTGTCTTAATTTCTGCACAAGTACTGGTTGAACTATAGTTCCCTTCCTGAGGATTTCAGTATGTGTCTGTATCACAAAATGCTCTGCAATTTACATATGTTGGTACTAACCACCAGTAGGTTAAAGATAATACAGAAGATGCAGATGTAATATTAGTAATTCTTGGTGATCTGTGTGAGCTCTGAAAGGAATAAAATTCAGGCATCAAAGAAACAAATCTTCATCTTAGCAACTTTCTACCAAAATAATTAATTTTATTTATCATGTCATCCAACAGCTGCCTTGAAACATATCTGCAACAGTTTTTCTGATCTAGACATGTATATAAAATAAAGAAGTGCAGCAACGTTGGTAAAACGATAAGGGCACAACTTTTGTGAGGAGTGGCTGAGGGAGCTGGGGTTGCTCAATCTGGAGGAAAGGAGGCTCATGGAGAACCTTATTGCCCTACAACTACCAGACAGAAGGTTGTAGAAATGTGGGGGTCAGTCCCTTCTCACAGATAGGAAGAAATATAGAGAAAAAAGAAAATGGGTTCAAGTTGTGTCAAGGAAAGTTTAGACTGGATATCAGGAAATAAGTTTTCACCGGAAAATTTCTCAAACATTGGAACAGGCTGCTGAAGGAAGTGAGTGATTCACCATTCCTGGAAGCATTCAAAAGATATGTAGATGTGGCACCTGGGGACATGGTTTAGTGGTGGACTTGGTAGTGCTGGGTTAATTGTTGGATTTACAATATTAAGCATCGTTTGCAATCTAAATGGTTTTGTGACTCTCTAAAGGCAAAATAAAAAAAACTGAAGAAAACACAAGACAACATTAAAACAACAACAAAAGACATTTTCTATTAAAAAAATGGAAGCTATGAAGCAATATTCTGATAGTGTTCACATTACAGTGGCAAAACTTAGAGAACCTACTACTCAAAAAAGAGAGAAAGACTTGTGTTAAAGATTTGAATCAACATTGCAAACAGTCAGTCACAATTAGACAGCAGAAGAAATAACAATTCTCGGAGTAACCAACTAGTTCCAACAATTTGAAAAGTACAAATGTTGATCTATACAAAGCAAAATCTTCCTACAAAATGATAAAATTGTAATTTTTCGTGGGAATTGTAAGTGGTACTTAATCCATTTTTAACTCTGGGTTTACATATCTTTAAGTGCTTTAAATTTTGTTCTAATTTACTCAAATAAAGGTGTTATATTTCAAAGTGAGCATATGGATTTGTGTTAATCATGAAAACTCTGTAATTAGGAATATTTTTATTGAATTATTCTGACATTTTATCAGAAAGAATTAAATATACCTGAATGAATTTATTACCTTATTAAAGTATTTCCTTTGAACTGCTTTACATAATTTGAAACTGCTTGCTGAGAGAAAACAAATGTAAATCAATGGGTCAATTTCATATGCTTTTTGAAATATAATTTCCCCTCTTCCTCAATCAATGAAGAAACTTCTGGAGCAACTTTCAGAAACATACAGTGTTGCATGTTTAAATATTTTTGATGGTAAGAAAAATATTTACCTATATGGTACCTATATACCTATGGGTAATAGATAGAAGTTTTGAACTACAATATTCCCGATGGACATTTAGAAAGGTGGAACAGACCAGAGCAAATTGAGCTAATTTCCTAATTCTCACATTAAGAAGCTAATGGTCAAGTTTGACTTAAATTTATCATGCCAAATTTAAGGATCCATATTGTACTATCGTGTGAGATTTATAAAACCTACCTCGTCCTCTTTTCTGACAAGTATTTAATGCAGCACTAATAAATAAATAAAAATATGTAAGTATATAAATATATTTCTCTCTCATCGGAAGAGTGCTTAATTCTAACATAATTTTAAGTTTTCAGGTTATAATGTGGGTCCAGAGAGAGGAGTAAATAAAGGAAGCTGCTGGAAATGATGTCTTTAAATAAAGAAAAAAAGGCTAATTTGCTTACATTTTATGAAATCTCTAGAAGATATACAGATAATTAGACTTGAAGAGTTTAAGAATAGTTAGTTAAAGTGATTGAAGATAATTCTAGCTTTGGTTAATCCCTTTCATTTTCAGGTCTCAATCTCCTGAAGGGGTTTAAGGAGAAGCTGTGTATCCACAAGAAGGTGTGGATTGCAACACCCAGCCAGGGCTGTTTTCATGTCCCTGCTGCCCAAATTTCATTATCTCTCAGTAAGATCCATTTTCAGGATGGCTCATTGTATAAAGTGTAGTGTTCTATGCCTTCAACAAGATAAAATACAATTTAGACCTGTATCCACTTTTCTAAAACAACTATAGGAGAAAATATAAGCTACAAAAAAATAGCCAAAAATGTTAAAAAGTTGTAGTCTAAAAGTGTAAAATTATTGCCATTAGATCCAATATTTTCACAAAAAAAGTTATAAATGAAAATGAGATTAGAAGAAAGAAAATCACAGATTTAAATAAAACCTCATGAATATAATCTGCTTCCAATTCACAACATAGGGTTGTAGTCCAGGAACACTTTTAAAAATTCTTTTAATCTCTAATATGAAGGGCAATAGCAGCTAAGAACTTAGATAGATACGTATATTGTGTGGTAGTCAAATCCCAGTGCAAAAGAACAGCTTTCATAAACTGTATCTTTCATACACACGAGTCTTTAATGAATGTCAGTTCCTGGTTCTATTCAATTTTGTTCTCTTCCTGTGATATACAGATTTTAAATTATATTTTAAGTCTTGTTTGTTTTATCTTTGCCTCCAGGACTGCATTATTGTGGAAAAGAAACAAAAGAATATTTTCCTCAAAATTACATAGGCATAGTTTTATTAACTGGAACTTCAAATTAGTAGTTTATGATTTCTATCTTGTTATTTTCATATTCATCTATACAGCAGATGTTTAAATGAAACCCAAAATATAAAAAATTGATTTCTTTATATGGGTACAAGTATAAATTTGAATTGTGGATTTGATGTTATGTGTTATTGATTTGAAGCAAATATTTGAAATTACCTGAGAACGGAAAAAAGATTCATGCAGCAAATTTCATCTAGCTACAGAAGTCAGAAAACATTTGCATTAGTTCCATCAATATTTTCATTGTGGTATATTAATTTTATTTAAAAATATTAATCATTGAATATAACCCTTATCATGACTGGTCACAGAAAAATGTATCTTTTTCTTAAAAAAATATTTAAAGAATCTATTATGTAAATTAAAATTACTTATACAGGGATATAAGAAAATATGGGATGTTGTGGTTTAGTAACTTTTTAAACTTTGTGTTGTTTGGATTTTTTTTTTTCTTTTATTTTGTACTGTATGCTACTGGAGTAGCCCTCTTCACAGCTTAGTAAACAGGACTATGAAATCATCCAGTTTAGAAGATAATCATGTATTTAACTTCTTGTTACTTTTATTCATGGGTTCATCCCAGAGTGACTGTGTCACCATCAACTGTTTATAGCAAGAAAAGAAAACAAAGGCAAAAACCTAGGATCAGGAAACCCAGCATTCAACTGTGCTTTGCTTTAAGAAACAAATCATGGAGTCATTGGACATGCCTTGAAAGAGGCAAAAATCATAGAATATGGGAGTATGTTATGAGTTTATGGATTTTCAACAGAAAAAAATACAGCGTTGTTTGATTTTTAAGAAAAAAGCTGGAAATTATAATTGGAAATCTGAGGAGTCTTTGTTGGAATATATGACTATAATAGCAATTGCATTATTGTTTTTGATGTAAAACCCTACAATTGTTTTACATGAACACAGTAACACAGAAAATCTCTTTGCATTTAGTTTGCGGAACCTCATATAATTAAAGAACTATTTTTTACTGAGGTTAGAAGAATGTGAATACATATTAATGAAAAGCCTTTTATACATTAAAATCTGGTAGGGTTTCTCTGAAGTCTGTGTCTAACTTAAAGCTGCTACTTTTATTCCTCCATAAACTGCTTATTTACAAACTGTAATAAATCTGTTTTCATTCTGGTTAAGATATCATTAATGGCTATTAATCTACAGCTGTTCTCATATTAAAGATATCTCAACTAGCTATATTTCTAATTTTTTTTTCCTATTTTGTGGAATAATGATGCACATTTGTTGGGAATTTCTATTGGGTTTTCCATAAAATCTTTAAAGGTGTTGATATCCTAAATATACTGGCATAATTTAAAATCATACAAACCCATCTAAGTTATCAGAAACAAACACAGATAAAAATTATTAGTAAAATCTGATGCTTGGTTTTTTTTTTGTTTGTTTCAGATGTTTGGTTGTTTTGGGTTCTTTTCTCTCATAGGATGATTTCTTGCAATCTAATACAGATTCTTATGTTGATTTGCATTCGCAAGGTGCTCCACCTCTCTCTGTTGATCATATAAAGGAAATTTCACTGCCTCTGACCACACAAGTAGCTTTAGATAACTGATGTTGGCTCAAATAAATTTTAGTTTTAAATAAACTGGGAAATACCTTTTCAGCAGATTTTGAAAGTTAATGTGTTTTGACTTCACATTGCTGTCTTTCTTCTTTAATGCCACTTGAAGATGTGAAATAGTACCTGAGATATATCCGCTTCACTCTGTGAAAATGCAGATCTGGAAGATTAATCCAGTGGACTAATCTTTTGTCTTTAACCCAATTACCGAAACAGAACAGGTTAAATACAGATCTTCAGGGACAGTAAGCATATGGTTCCCTTGTGAATATCGTCTGTAACTGTTGTTACTCCACTTCACTGGATCATTATGGCTATGAAGAGTTAAATCAGCTTAGAGGTTGTGGCCCTTTGCCTCTAGTCTGTTCTTTGCTTGAGATATCTAAGCTCAGTGTGCTGTGACCTTTCATGAGTAGACATGAACAAGAATAAATTCTTTAGTGTTATTTTCAGATTTTGTTCATAGAATAAGGAATTTAGAAACAAATTGCAACTACACAACCAATTACATTTGGAATTTAAGACCTTTTAATACTATCTGTAACTAGTCATTAGGAAAATGTGCAAAAAAACCCCGACTTCAATTCGAACATTTTTGAGATACTCTAGGTCTAATCATGCTACCATTGAAGAAAAAGCTAAAACTCCCACTGATTTCAGTGGGCTCAGGATTATATACACAGCAGGGGACCAGACCCAGTAATCCATGAAGTCCTTTTCATCTCTGTGTTACTACAATAGGAGCAAAAGTCTGCAGAAAGCATGATAATGTCAGGGTTGCAAGGCTTGAAAAGTTTGAAAGCTAGGACTTCCACATGAAAGATATTCTTTTTGAGCAGTGAAACTAATATAGAAGAAACTGTGATTTTGAAATTAAGTTTTTATTGGCTATAAACATTAATCACCACAAGATACCAGTATATCTGATACGGATTTGCATTTCATAATTATTTTGGCTTAAGACTGTGATGGTTGTTTGGAATCTTTTCTTACTGTGAAAAGGGGCAGGATTTTAATTAGTTTTATATCCAACATTCCAGCTGATGTATATGGGTGACAAAGCCAAGCATGAGACATGGAAATAACTGTGAAGTCTTTACTGCAGTATCAGTACATTTATTCAGGGCAGAACAACTGGAAATCAGCTAGAATGCCCTGTCAGTGAAACTAACTCACCATCCTCTTTTGCATTTCATGTTCTTTTCCTCTCTAACAGCAGCAGCAGCAGCTGTGCTAGTCTAAATTCACAGATTTTTTTTTTTTTAATCCTCTTCTTCAAGAATGCTCTAATTCTAGGAGGAGATAACTGCATCAGTTTTTCAGATTTGGCATCTTCACAGTTTGTGCTGCTTTGTGATCATCTGCATGTGACCAGATCTTTGTGATCACCTGCATGTGGTGATCTGATGTGATCACCAGACTGAGAACAAAAGATTAGCCATTAGAAGTCAGGTTCAGATCTCAGAGCTGAGTGTAGGCATTGCAATTACTGGCTAATTCAAAGTCTGAAAATGGGCATTTAGGTATCTTACACCATTTCAAGTGTTTAAGAGTACCTGACTCAGAGGTCTGTTTCCTCTTTATAGGGAGCCAATATGACTTTCATAGCCATTCAGCTTTCAGCATGAAAACAGATAATTGATCTTAGCTAGTAAATAGAAAACAGTGGTAGCAGGACTATATCTGTGTTCCCTCAGATCTCTCTGATAATAAGTGTGTGGCTCAGTTCTACTGCCCCATGCCTTCCTATCCGTGTTATCCATCTGTGTCCACCTGGGATACAGAATAGATGAAGAGCAGATGTTCATATAGCTAGAAGACTTCTGCTTTTTAGGGCTATATTTGACCCATCAAACTAATCAAAAACTAATCAAAATCAAAAGTAAATTATGCGAATCAGAAAAGTGCTTAAAGCATTTTGTATATTTTTTCCCATCATCTGGAAAACATTGCATGCATCTCTCTTTTTTTTTCTCTTTTCTTCTTTTTCATAAACCTCACAGTTTTCCATAGCAAGATACAGCCTAAGAATTCTTTAAAGTGAGAAACATGTTGCAGTAGTGGCATATTTAATTTCGTATCTTAGATTCTTAGTGCTGTTTAGAAATGTCTTATAAACTCTTTACATATTTTTGAAAATATTTGTTTCCTTAATTTGAAAAAAGTTTTGATTAAAAGTCATAACCTTAAATAAAGCAAAGTTAAGTAAAGTTTAAATAAAGTAAAGATCCGGATTCAACAAATTTCTTATAGGTTTTTGTTAATCTCAAGTTCTAGTTCAAGCTGATTCCATTCAAAACCACTCAGAAAAAAATTAGCCTCTTATATGATCTTCCTGTTCATGAAATAAAATAAATCAGCTGTAAACTGATGTGACAGTGACAAACCTGACATTGAACAATCTTTCCTTCTTTTTTGTATTTTTAAATTTTTTAAAATTATTTTTTATTCAACTCAAGCTTTCGAAAGATCCTATTTTGGGAGTCCTGGGAACTGAAATTCCTTTTGTATTTACTCAACAGATAATACAGACTGTTTAGACAGCACTGGTGATCCTGCACTATCATGACAGCATATCTTGACTTTAATATATTGGAACCTTCTGAAACTGAAATGGTAGATAAAATTTACAGTTCTTGACTGTGCTTAGATACATTCAGGCCATAATTTGAAAGTTTTAAATATATGTTTGTTTAGACACTGTACTCTTTAGAAACTGGCAATTTCTTTTCAAAGTAAATTTGAGACAAATGAGTTCCAAGATGCTGTCAGCAACAATGAACAATTCTCGATGTTTATAACATAAACCCAAGAAACAGATAGCCATGGAGCTATAAAAAAATGTTGTTTTAAATATATTTCTAAAGACTATTTTGTTAATATTTTGTTCTAAGTAGATCTGTTTGCCAGCATGAGATCAGATTGGCTGTGACTGGCTAAATCTCATAGACCTCCAGAGATGCAGAGCCCAGAGCTGTACAGGGCAACCCATTTAAGTATTGCATTACTCTTTTAGTTACAATTATTTTCCTAATGCCTCATATGAGCCTCTCTAGTCACAGGTTGTGGCCATTTGCCTTCACTGTATCATCTGGCCATTTTCAGGTTTGTAACCCCCCCCAAGTAATAGTAGACTGCTGTGAAAGGACCCCTTAACCTTCTCTTCAGGAGACTAAGCAACCCCAGCTCCCTCTCCCTGTCTGAGGTAGAACATGCAATCTAGACACTCAGCAATTTGGGTGACTTTATGATGTATCTCTTTCATATCCCAAAATCCTTCTTTAATGAAGGACTCAAAATCTCAGCGCAGTATTGCAGAGCCATCATCACCGATGCTTGCATGTCACTCAGGCTTTCTCTTTTTCCTACTCACTTCCCCAGAGAACAACCTGGGGTGGGCAACAGATTGGGAGGGGGCAGACCTGAATAATCTGACCTGATCCACAAGAGTTCTCACTTCCAAGTCAAGACTCCCATTTTTACCCTGTTCCATGGGACAGGGGAGGGAGTTGTGCCACTGTGTCAGTGCTTAGTTGTTAACAGAAAATGCAGTGGTCTCCAAAACAGTGGAATAATTTTGTAGAAAAGCTCTAATTAAATTAAAGACAGACAGCATTATCTAGTTACAGAGATAACAGAAAGATTAAATTAAGTAAATAAAAGCAGAGATCTCCAAATTAATAGGACATATACAACTGTAATTTAAATGTCTTCAATTTTAAAAATATAGTATTTAATATTTTTTTGAGACAACAGGGATCACAATCTGATTTCTTGCCTCTGGACCAACAAGTTTCATTACAAAGAGCTTCTACCATCTTGTATTCAGAAAGTTAACAAATTAAGTGTTTCTTAATCTATATAGACATAATATAGTGTTGATTTTTGATAAAGTCTACCAGGACTTTGCAAGTGTTAGTTTGGTTCAACAGACCTAGATTTGATATCTATCTTAAGAATGTTTTATTCTTCACAGTGTCTTTCATTTGCTATATTGAATCTTAGGAAACTGTGAAGCCTGGCAGGTATCTTCTGTGTCACTGAGTCTAGCATCCAACAGGGAAGTGGACTGTATCTTTTCCTGAAAGGTCAAAAACTGTGAAAGCACCACTGAATTTTTTGAGGGGAGTGGGGGAATAATCCTGCTATTTCTGCAGCTGAATGCAGTACATGAAGCCACTACTTTACACAAAGTAAAGTACTACTTTACTTTTATTATACTTTTTTACTTAACCAGGAGGTCACTGTGAAAGTGCTCTTTTGGTGATGTGCAGACAAAGCATAACTTTGGTGGAGAGTTTTCCTCAGTTAAAGGAAATCTTAGAGGATATAAAGAAAGCCCTATGTCTTTCAAACAAACACCATTCCCAGTCCTAATACAACAAACATAAGTTTCTGGAGTATGTGAGTAAAGTACAGGCAAAGTCTAGGTATCAATCAAAATGTCCTAGGAACTTTGTATACACATAGCTGGATCACAATATCATTCCTCTAATGAGTGTTTTCCCTTTATTTTCTCTTCTTTCTTTTTGAGAAGGCTGGTTAGCTACAGCTAAAGATCAAACCACTAGATAATGAGATCCTAGCTGAGTGATCAAAAGAGGTACGGAAAAATTACACAGTAGCTTTATTTCACAGATAGAATTCAGTGATATATTTTTTGATACACAGCATTCACCTTTATAAAATATTATAAAATCACTTTATCTTCCAGTGTTCTGAAGCTATTCATTACTACTGGCAGGTTTCCAGTTTCTTTAGATTAATATCCCTTTAATTCTTCCTCAGTACTTATTTTTCCATTTTTCTGTTCACAATATTACAAAAACAATTTTATATATGTATTTTTTAGGAACTAGAACATGAAAAAATTTTCCAGGTAAATACAACTGAATGACATTCTGAGATATGGAAAAGACATGCACAATGAATAATGGCAATGGTTTTATGCAGTTAAATTATATAAGACCATTAATATGATAACCCAAAACGAATTCCTAAAAGAGAAATAAATATTGTTTAATGAAAAAAAACCCAAACAAACAGCCCCCTTCTAACTCAAAATCTTCTGTGGATCTTAAAACCTCCTTTACTTAATTGAGTTGCAAACATCATTCTTCTTAGATTAAAGGGGATTTTTTTTTAGAAAATTTTAATTTCCTGCTTACATTACTCTTTTTTGTGCTGAAGTTAATATATTCATATTAATATTTAAGAACTCTGCAATTGATAAAAAAACAGCTTTCCAGGGACAAGTGTAGTTTTGCATAAAATGCGGTGTATCATGACTCTTAATCCTGTTTTTAACTTTATAGATGTTTTCATAGTCACACCAGTGAGATAACTAGAACTATACTGTATTGAATGCAATTAATCCACACACCTATATGTGCTATTTATAAAAAAAAGCAAGTTTAGTGTGACAATTAAAAAAGTATGTAGCAGTTTAGATAATAATTTTTTCTTTACTAAAACACCTATCAGTATCTGAGATCTTAAAAATTTGGTGATTTTTACTTGCAATACGAATTTTGGGCCTATCTAAGTCCACCTTAGATAAACACACATCAGGGATTCCCAACATCTACCAGAAACTTTGACAGCAAGTACCTCATCAAATTTTGCTTTGCATGTTTGTATATGAAACATCAAGTTCAATGTTCTACATTTGGCACTGGTACCTTTCATTTAACCTTATTAAAACCAAAGGGGTCACTTCAAATTAATGACTCCATAAATTTGAAAAGGATTTCTTAATGTTTTGACCAGGGAATTGCAGAATGTAAAGGAGTGATTGATGAGAGCTGTTCTGATATTCAGTAATTAATTATCTGCACAGATAAACATGACCAATTACTTTACCAAAGTAAAAAAATTGGGAACAAATCACAGCTGAAAGCAGATGAGAACAAATTAGATTATGTTATCCTTATTTCCCAATCTGAGTGTAACACGAAACAAGTAGATTATCTGTCAGTTCGCCAGACAATTAGACAGCTTCAGATAAAACCTGGGAAATCTGAACTCCATCTTCTCTGTGTCCTCTGATGAGTAAATTATAGACAGTAACAAACATTCCAGATGGAAGGCTGAAGGCTGATCCGTCAGCTTCTGATTGTAGAATTTGCTCCAACCATGACTCTCCTGATGACCTTCACTCGACTTGTTCCAGCACTTAAAATTGCTTTTCTTCTTGGGCAATGCAAAACTGTGTATTTCACTCCAGATGTGCTGAACAAAGGGGAAGGAATCCTGGTCCTGCTCATGACAATCTCACTTGTGCAGACCAGAGGATGAATATGGCATGTGAGTTGGAGGCTCATTAAATTCTAAGACTGGCACATACTGCTTGTTGGTGCATTATTTTCTAAGGTAATCAGACAGTGGAGCCTATATACATATATACATGCACAAAAAGTCCTGCAGAATATGTGTGGTTTATGATGCAGGCAGTTGTCCTGCTTCAAAATTTAATTTTTTTTTAATGCATACAGCCAAGCAATATGTGAGTGACAAGATCATCTTGTAATGCTGATTCTCACTGCGCTAGAAACATGTCACTGTTTCAAATCTCTCAGAAAAAAACCCAGATGATAACAGGAGAAAATGTACAATATTTGCATCCCTGTTTGTATATGAAAGACAGATGGAAAAAAAAAAACAACTCTTAGCACAATAATCTTTATTCACATATGACAACAGTCAGTTGAGTGAAAAGGACTAAGTCAAGTAGGGACTGCACTGTATTTGGCATACAATACTTTTTTGTTCTTTCTTCTCTCCTATCAACTGCTTCTGCTTTTTTAACTCTGACACTAATGCATTAAAAAAAAAATTAAAACCACTGAAATTTTGCTACAGCAAACTTTTACACAGGTGGGTGATACAACATGAATAATTCAATCTAGGTGTCTGACTGCTGTATCTATAGACTTTAAAGACACATACGCTTTGCTTCATTTGAAATTTAATTATTTATTCTATTTAACCATGTTTTATTACCATTAAAAGTAGCTCAATAAATTGCTGGGTTAAAATAATAAATAGCTTGGCTCAAGCCAAGTAAAGTATTAATTTATGTATGAAGTAATAAGCCTGAAAAATGGAAAGAAATGCAAGTTTCAAAAAAAAAAAACATATCTGAAGGGAATCAGCCCTTTAACCTGCTCTGCTGACCTTATTACTAATGCCAGTATAAATTTAATGTCTCCTATATTATAGACACTTGAATTTTCCTGATTTCTTACCATGGAAGAATATATTGTAAATTCTCTGGGTTTTCCAACTGACCTCTCACAGCCTGATTAATTTATACCTATTTCTTCTTGTGTCAGTGCTGACAGTTTTTAATTCTTTGCATATTTATAAAGAAAAAAAATTATGTCTCCAAAGATTTTGTTTTTATGCTAAACTTTTTTTGGTAGGTTCTTCTTTCCCTGAACATTTATGAATTTTACAAATCTGTAGAAACTTTTCCTAATGTTAAGCCACAAGAACCACACACCATATTTACCACTTCCTCATAAAATGTCACTGGAATTTCATTACTAGAATAAAAAAGATAGATTTTCATACTTGGGAGTATAACCATAGATTTATACCTCTTTGTTATCTTATCTCCTCATGATAAATTGATATGCTTCAGCTAATTTTAACTGATATTAAAATTGTCTCAATCTATACACTTGCTTCATATTTTTCCCATTTGATGAGCAGAAAATCTATTACACAATTCCATATTACTTTTGATGATAGCTTATATGATTTCCAGATGCAGGCAGATCAAGATCACATAAACATGAAACACATTATTTATCCCACCTTTTTATAATAACATTGACGTTTTCTCATATACCTGGTACTCTTGAATATATTATTTACACAATTATGTTTCTAATTGGACTGGTAACATGTCTTGAATAAAATGATGTAATCTGTCATGAGGTTTGCATATAACTAGGAAGAGTAGGAGTAGTGGAAAAAGTAATTAATAATTTAATTATGTTGTTGTTAATAATTTCTAAGTATTATTCTTTGTAGTAGAAGTAGCATATACATTTCGAATTTACTAAAGAAATAACTTGTAAACATAGGAAAATTTGATTAAATTTAGCTTATACTATTTAGGAAAAATATAAAGTTTTAACTTGGTGCTTGTTGTATAAAAAACACTTTTGAATATAATTCTCTGCATTTCCATATATATGAGCAGAATTTCTTTCAAGTCTTTATAAAGGCAGAAATTGAATTAATCAATACCAAAAAAAAGAAAAATGTCTTCTATTGATCAGCAGAATAAAGCTTGTTTCTATGCAGAACAAAAACAGTGTTTCTTAGCAAGCACAGTGTGATCAAACTTCCTCTTGGACTGAAATAAATTAATTCAAAACATAAAGAAAGGCACCTGAAGCAAAGAAATTAATGACACAGGAAGTTTTTTGGTGCATCCATCATATAATTACATGATGAAGTATTGAAGTTCACATATTATGAGAAAAATACTTCAGAGAAAGAAAATTGTTTAAACTAAAAGATAAGATTGCATGACACTAGAAACAAAAGTATCTATTCTAGTAACGTGCTTAATTCAAGGGCAGATCAAAAAAGTGCTGCTTTAATAAGGTGAATCAAAATTAAATAAATTATAATGGCAATGTTTTAAAGTCAGATCTTGAGATATAATCTAGTTAGTTCTAGGAAAGAAAATCTTTATTTCAATGAAAACAGATTTAAAGAATTTCAGTAACAGGAAGAGAAAATATGAACACTTCTTATCCCTGGTTTCCCCTGTTGGAATTCCCTCATTCGGAGAACAGAGAAGTAACATTCAAAAAACATGTCCTAAAAAATGTCTAGGAAAAAAAACCACATTGTTGCTATTGTAAGAAATAGCTGCCATAGATACTACGCCTCTCTGATCTAAAGCTCTGTACAGCCTAAATTGTGAAAGAAAGTGTGGTATGCAAGCCCTTGAATCCTGATTCTCCAGTTTCTCAGGACAGAAATTCATTGCAACACAGCTGTTATTTTCTTAGCCTTGATTCTGATGTGCAGCATATGCAGCAGGACACGTGAATGCAGCTTGGAAATTGCTAAGCATTAATCTAGACTCCAGTATTCAAAACATGAGATCAAAAAGCTCATCAGTCATTTTCCTTCCCAGCTCTAGGATTTTACACCTGTGAAATATTCTGTAGGACTATTGCCATCAGAAAAAGGACCTTAGTTACTGACTGATACAGCTGTGGAACTTTAACTTACCAGTTTAAGTTAGATAGTTGAACAAATTTTCTCCCAACATTTCTTAAAAGCAAGGGCAGCTGGATATATTTTCTTACATCATTGTGCTTTCACTTATTATTTAACCAGTAAAAACATTTATATTACTAGCTTAAAAGATTTGTGATAAGTCATAGGGAGCAAACAGTTTTCTGCCTGGTTTTGTCACCACCAGAAATCAGAACAGCTCCATTGCATGCTTCTCAATACTGACACAAAAGATATCTTTTAGGCACTGCTTTCTTTGGAATGAAAAAAACAGATGACATAATATATTTGTCTTGTTTTTTTTGGGTTTTTTTTGATATCATAAAAAAGGGAATGAAAATAAGCAAATCCAAACAATTAAAAAAATTATTAATAATTTTAAAAAATTTAGATTTTCAGAAAAAAAAAAGAAAGGTTCATTACATTTCTGCTACTTGGCATCTTAATAGTCACAGTAGATGTCTTAGTTATATGAAGAAATGTACAGTTTTTCAGTAAATTCAGTACATTGTTAAAATTTAGTAAATTTAGTAAATTGTACTTAATTGTAATAATTATAGTAAATCCAGTCCATTTTATTAATTAGCTTTTTGTAGTCCTAGCACAAACATGGACCTGGTTTTCTCCATCCAAAAAAACTAAAGTCAGAGGAATTGCATGTAGTACAGTCAGTGAAGCATGTCCATCTCATGCAAATATGTGGTTGCTTACTTCCACTATGTGCTTTGTGGCCAATTTTAGCTCAGGACAGAGGGAAATGAGGGTTGCAGCAGAAGGTGCCTTAAGAACAGTTAAGGATTCCTAATGGAGTTTTGTTACTGTCTTTGGCAGAATCAGAGAAAAAACGATCTGGCCAGAAGCTTGCCTAGGGCCTTGTGGGAGAGCATACGGGAAGCAGAAAGCAGCAGAGTTAAAAGCTGTGGAACAACTGAGGTAGAGAGAACTCAAAACCAGACAAGAATACAGGGTGGTTTCCTTTCATTTAGTATGGAGGATATTCCTGCCTGTGTACAGAACTTTGACCACAGAGAAAAAAGAATGTCACAGCTAATATAGATTAAATTGTTTTCTGATTAATATTTTCATAAAAATTTTTGTTCCTTTATTTGCTTTTTGAATGCAATAAAGCATTTTCAAAGATTTCATCCAAGGTACAGAGATTTTTTTATTCTGTGCTGCTACCGATAGAGCCGTGTTTTTCAGTTTAAAAACATGCCTAGTGATACAGTTTGGTGTTAAAGAAAACATATACAAAAATTAAGACAATTGTTAAATAGAAACAAATAATTTTGCTTGTTAAGAATATTAAACCTGAACAGCATATTTAAACATTTGTTAAAGTCATGGAATCAGAGAATGATTTAACATGTCAGGGACCTTTAAAGTCCCTCTAATCTAACTCCCTTGCTGTATGAGCAGGTACAACTTCAAACAGAGTAGATTGCTCAGAGACCAGTACAACCTGACTTGGAATATTTCCAGGGGTGGAGCAACTACCACCTTCTCAGAAAACCTGATTCTGAAGTGTTGCTTCTTGTCTGCTTGCCTAAAAGGAATTCAATGTTTTCTTCCTGATCTGTGTCAGGTCTTTACTGGGCAAAAAGTATCATAAAGCCATGGACTTATGCAATGCTTACCTAAAATAATGCAGCCAAGAGAATAATTCTGTACTGAAAATGGAATCAGGAATAGGCAAGAATCTTATCTTTTTAATCCTTGTTTAAAGGAAAGAAAAATGGAAAAGGAAGAGGAAAAAAAGAAAAAGAGAAAAATAGAGAAAAAAAAGGAAAAAAAGAGATCTGAAGCAAATCTCAGATAAAAGAACAAATGTAACTTGTTTCAGTTTATCCTCCTTTCCAGTAATTCTTTTGGTGACACATCTTTATTGTATTATAGCCACCTGCCATTGAAGTTGAATTACTACACTCATGAATACCTTTCATTTCCATACTTACATGAATAATATTTCTATACTCACAGTTTCCATAAGCTTAAAGACATCTTCAAGGCTATGACAGGAAATCACTTTTAACAAATTGATGGGGAAACACTGAGAAGCTTGGGATTCAAACCGAAGTCACAATTTAATATTCATTATGCAAAGTTCAGAGTTAACCCTACAATGTTGAGAATGAGTTAATTCAAATTTCATGAGATAAGTATGAATTCTGAGCAGAAATTTAAAATAACACACTATCCTTTAGAAAAGAGGATCCTATCATTGCAAATATTATAGAGGAAATGGTATGTGTTCTGGTTTGTTTTTTGTGTTTTTATGCCTAAAGAAAACTACATCACTGTTCCCATGAAAAAAATTAACTGAAATAGTTCTTTCACCACACTCTCAGTTACTAAAAAAGAAATAGGTAAACAAACAAACAAACAAAAGGAAAAATGGACAGTGAAGGGACCTAGAGAGGGTGCAATGAGAGACTGAGTAATCTTTTTGTGCTGCCCTGGCAGTTTATAGCACTATCCAGAAAAGTGTCCCTGCAGGAACTGGCAGAATCTGTGAAAAGGGAATGAATACAGCCTACTTGCTGGGATAATTGTATCACACAATGAGGGATAAATTAAGAAGTTATACATGTGATACACCATCTGTGTCTGTTTTTGTTATTTTCTCCATATACATCTGTTTCTATTCAGCTACAGGGCAACACTCCATCATATTATGCAGACCAGAATAACACAGAAAGTTCAGTTTTGTTGACAAAAAGAAACTTCTCTTCCTAAATATGTGGTAAGCCAGCAGAGTAATTTTTGATCAGTAAGCTTTGAAAATCAAAACAAGAGAGTTGATCCAAATATATTCAAATTTTATGTTTGATATTTATAACTGGGTGAAGATCTCCAGATTCCAACATGTAGTTGTAACTTCAGTCAGATGCTACTGTGGTAGGTGTTTATTTTTTGATCCCAGCTGGAATGTAAGTGAAATCTGGAGAAAGAGAGAAAATAAATTAATAAAATCTACACTATGTACATACAGAAGTTAACCTAGAAACAAAACAAAGAATGATATCCAACTGTATTGGTGAACTTCAATGATTTTACATTTGATTTCAGGTCCTAGCTGGAAACTGAGCTTGGGGATTTTCCTTTTCATCTACTCCTCTCCTGACCTAGTAGCACTGCTTTGACAACTAATCCACAAAGCAGTACCTGATGTACTTACTGTTAGATAATGTCTCAAAGCAGTTTTTCAGGCACTTCAGAAGTGATTGATTTAACCTGCTTATGTTGTTTCCATTTACTTTTTTTTTTACCCTCCTAATTTTATGTCCTGCTAATCTGGCTTTAAAATTCTAGAGGCTTTTAAATGCAAAAAACAATATAATGCCACACTCAGAGAAAGAAATATAATCTAGTTAAATGCTGAAACCTTGCAAACCTGGTCAAACAGCATCTGGTTTAGAGTTGCAGAGAAGAGTAGAGAGGTGGTTTGTATTCCTGCTTGAACCAGAAAATACAATTTCATGCAGCCACTGTAAATTTTATATATATAAAATAGTCCTTCTGAACTATAATTGTGGAAATTGAAATACAGAAATGTAAGTACTGTCTCTGGTTGCTTCAAATCAGAACATTATTCAGGGGAGAGAATTGAACCAGTGAATCCAGCAATTTTTTTTTTCTTATTCGGCCACTGTGATAAATTCCATACTTTCTGGATTGTCCTAGTAAGCTATTTCTACCATTTTTGTAGTACTCTCAGATACTGATCTCAACTAGATTTCAATATGACCCTAATTAACTTTCTGTTTTCCCTTTGAAAAGACCATCTATCAAAATAACCATATGGCTGAAAACCACAAAAAAAGGAGCTCTGACAAGGACTTCAAATGTCAATAGCATGGTCTTTGAATGACTTGCCAAGCCTTGGGTTGTTTCTGGGATGTAGTTAGATCCTAGGATGACATTTAAAATAATAATTTTGGTAAACTTACTCTCTTCCACAGCAATACTCATATCTAACAGAGCTCACAACTGAAAGACAGAATTCTTTCTACAATGAATATGTTTTATGTATGAGAGAACATTCCTGAAAGAACACAAAGAGCAAAAAAATAGACCATAATCTGATTCTTTCAAGGATTCTGTATTTGCCTTAATGGAAATGCTGAAAGAGGAAAGGTCAGAAAATTGTTAAACCCTTTCTTAACACAGTTCTTATAAGTTCTAGTTGAGCTTACTAGCTTTGGGCTTAGTATCCCATTAAAACTAGCAGGAAGGGGAACAAGATAATAAAATTTCTATTTTACATCAAAATCAGTTCTGAAATATATGAAAAATAGATAACAGCCCATATTGTACATTAAAATTTTGATTGTAAAAATCATTACATGTAATTTGAATGCTCACACGATGTCTTTGTGTGTTTCTTTTCCCCAGAGCGTATACTCAGGGGAGGGCAGGGCAGGGAGGTGAGGCTTTATCAGCCATAAGCAATATGTATGTGGCAATCGTTCTCTACAAATGACTTGCAAAGGGATGAAAAAACTCCTCATGTTAGGGAAAAATAACCAATGTGAATCTACATACTCTCCCTGAGATACATCCTGCATGACATTTCAGCGGTGTTCATATCACCTAATTTCAAGAATTCACCCTCTTGTGAGAAAAATGTAGAAAGGATTGATTATTCTATAGCATTTTTATCTCATGAACAAGCAAATATGTAACAAAGATGTAGACACAGAAGTCTGAGCTCAAGAAAGTAATTTATAAAAGCTCAATCTAGTTTTTACAGAGAGCAGACATTATACCAAGGAGGAAAAACAAACAAACAAACAAAACCAAACCATCAACTACACATACCTTTTAGGAGGTCTAACTGCTATGTTACTGGAAATGCTCAATTATCAGCTGCACTCCTGTCTATTCCAATGTAATTCCCTGAGGACTCATTTTCTGCCTAATATCATTTGGCATTGAGCATTTGTAGTTCCTAGGTTCAAGATGAATTTAGATAAAAATGCTCAGACTATAACAATGAGGGTTGTACATGTTCTTTGCAAAGCAGCTTAATGATCAGACCAGGCATTCATTAGGTAGGAGAACTGAGTTCTCACTCTTAATTACAATCCACGGCTTTCCCATCCCAGAAAAGTTCCTTACTGGAAGATAGAAAACTGGCAAGTGAAAGAATAATTTTCTATGTACTTGTTAAAGACACAGGATTACCAAAAATAACAACATTCTGAAGCCATAAAAATGGGTAGATGAGGTTCCCATTTCTGGTTACAGAGGTGAGGAATGAGATATTAGGAATTCTGCTCTTTAGTCTCCTATGTCTTTTTGTTGTTGGGAATTTTTTTCAGTTTATTTTGATTTGCTGGTTTTCTGTTCTGGGGTGGGGGGGTGGTTTTGGTTTTTTTTGGTTGGTTGGTTGGCTTGGATTTTTTTGTTTTGTTTTGCTGGTTTTTGTTGTTTCCTCTAGTGATAATATTTTGCAAAACATAAAAATAGTCAAGTATTCAAAACCATAAAAACATTCTTGTACATGGCATATCCTTATCAATTCATGCCAGTTAACATATTTTTTCTTATCACTACCTCCCTTATCATTGTGTTGGTCAGATTTGTATGTTCTGGTTTGTTTATCCTTTGGCCAGGTAAAGTTAAAGGAGCAGACACCTTGCTTCCACATGTCCTTATTACACTCAGCTAGTGACTATTATGACTCACAGCTGTCTCCATTTTTTCTTTTATTGACAAACTGAGCAAGTAATTTTGTGGGAGAAAACTTCATAATCACTCAAGAGTATATATATATATATTTGGGTTGTAGCAGAGATTTGGCTTTAATTTCCTCAGTATTTGTACATTAATATCCAAAATTAATTTTCCAGTGTGTTTGGAAGGCTATTTTAAAAGTTTTGAGCTGTTAAAATAGATTGGTTCTCATTGATAAGGTGAAGCTTAGAGTAACTATTTGGTAGATTGAAGAGAGATGGGGAACAGGGATATCACCATTTCTACAAAGAGAACATAATTACTAAATCTTCAGACATATTTTCTAAGGGTCCATACTATAA